AAAATTAAGAATTTAAGTATCATTCGACCAAAACAATGTGACTGTGACAGATGATATTGGCCATTTACGCTAATTAGAATAGCTACATGTCAAAGCTAATCCCAGTGGTGCAAACCGCATGTTTGTCAAGGCTAATTTATCTTCTTGTTTTTTGTTGTTGATATTTTAGAGATGTCTGAAATTACCAGCGACGCCCTGCTCAAAATGACCTCAATATGTGTAAGTACAACAATTTTTTCGCTTCGATACAAAATTCTGTTGTCCTTAAACCCAAAGAAACTACAATGCTAAAATCTTCCAACTTTTCGAGCGTAACAGTTAGGACTGAGGCAAAAGTTCAGTACTTAACTTTTTGCAACTGTCTTTGGCCAGAAAAACCATATTCATGCTTTTGGTTTATCCAGCGTACATACTCACCCTTGGCTCAATGATCAGTTCCGTTTGCTATCCTAGAGTTTACTCATCATATCAGCTCATTTTATGAATGAAACTTGACACTCATCCCAAAATTACAACCAGTCGGCCCAAACTTCAGTCAAAATTACTATTACAGCTGACAACATTAACCTTTTGTTTGAGTTAGTTTAAGTAAAAAAACCATTAATTTGAAGGGAATTTTCTAGTCCGAATCGATGCAAACACTGCTTGCACAATTTCTGCTATTCGAGACATGAGACGTTCACAGCACTTTAAAACTTAGCTCTGAAATTAATAAGTTAAAACCCTCACTCTTGACACATAATGTTTGGGCCATGCCAACCCGTCTGTAAAGCCTTCTGTGGTTTTCTGTATATAACACTCATTTAGAAGAGAAAACTTGGAATTCTAAATTCTATAAAAAGTGTTATGTGACAAACATATTTTCTGACTTTCAAATGCAGGTTATGGTACAAACTGGATTTCTGATTTTGTTCTTAAGAGCCTCGGAAGTAATGTCAGGTACGTAGAGACAAAAGAACTATGATTTACAACATATGAACTGTTACTGAACTAAGGAAATGTTTTGGCACTACAACCGAAAATGTTTGTCGTCGAAGATTAAATATAACGGTATGTAGACGAAACGTGTTGTTCGCCAGACAAATGGCAACAAAAATTTCTTTTAAATAGTGGTAGCTGCGGAAGCGACAAATTAAGACTGCTGTTGTATTTTTGCGTCACGACGTCTTAATTTTATAAAATAAATCGTGTTTATAGCTAAGTGCAAGGAACTTGCTACTGGAATTTTGATGAAACCTCAAAATTCTAACGCCACCTGCTTTGGGCCATTTGTTTAGAACTGGATCAATTACATCGTAAACTTAAGCTTTTGCGTTGGTTTCCCATTTCTCTAAATCAGCAGCGTTTTTTGTCATTATTATTTTCATTAAACAGTTAGGAAAGCAATAATTTCTTTCTGGCTGGCTTATTTCATCATTTTTCATTTTTTTTCGGTTTTCGTTATTAAGGTAATTTGGTATCATTAATTCGTTGATAAAGTAAATTGGCCACCGTTAAGAGTTTCAAAGCAGACGTTTCGAGCGTTAGTCTTTCGTCAGAGCGAACGTTGATTGGCCAGCATTGGCAAGATAGTAAGATCCCATTGGCTATTAACATTTGCGTCTTATTTTTTATTGGTTGTTGAGCTGTCCAAGTTGACCAATCCGATCGTTAGCTGCTTGAAGTATGACTGCCTAAAGTGGAAGATTCCATTGTAACAAAGTATTCAATTATCTTTTGACATTAGCTGATTTGGCATTAAGACAACCAGCATACATGTCTGGTGACGATGGTTCAGTAGCTGCACTGGCTGTTGAAGGAACCACAGGCAGGTGTGCAGTGACCAGTCTCCTAACGGATCCCTGGTGGCGAGTTGATTTGGGGAAGAGTTACAGCGTGGACGTAGCAAACATTACTAGCGGTGCAAATGGATTGGCAGATTTTGAAATAAGAATCGGTCAGTGGTTCTTAGCTCACATGTCTAAAATATTTTTTCCTTACTGGTACAAATAACTAATTAATTACTCGTCTTACTGTAGTTTTTTTCAAAGGGTTTGACTCTCGTGACAAGACCAATGACTAGCTGTGGCTACTACCTCCTGTAGGAGGTAAAGCCACACACGTCTACCGAATGAGTGAGTGAGTGATGGTAACTGACGCAGAATTCCGATCTTGGCCCAATTTTCACCCGATGTTTCCGGGTGCTACCTATTGTTTGGTACTGCAGAAGATCTATAAACTTCTCACAATTATATCAGGGTGGCGCGTGAAAAAACAATAATTTCCTTTCCAGAAATATCTTAAAAGTTGTGATCAGTGCACTATGAGAGCTTGGAAAAATTTATTTCTTTGAAGAGATAGCGTATTGCCGCTTGAATCAGCAAATTAGGCCCAGTGAATTCGAAAATATAATTTCTTCAGTTCTTGCCGTGACACTTCAAAAGATGATAAACATTCAAAAATAATTTCACAGTGGCGTCGTCCGGCACGAAATTGAAAACAAGACTTTTCCTTGCAGAAATATCTAAATAAGTTTGATCTGCACATCGTGGAGATTTTGAAGACAAATTTGAAGAGAGAGCATTTCACCATTTCAATCAGCAACTTGGGCCCAAAAGAGCTGCTAAATTTGCGAAGCGAGCAGGCTCCGAAACAAGGATACATTAATTTCGTAGAAAAGGGTGTGGTTATTCATCGTGGTGAATAACAATAAAAACTAAGTTTTTCGTTTGTCTCACGATGTAGTCACGTGTGATGTAGATCGTGACGTTTCGACTGCATACTGCTAGTCTTCCTCAGGCAATGAGGTCGACTGGTCATGCGTGATCTTATAAAGCATGATGCTCTGATCAGCAAGGGTCGAAATACACCAATCAGAGCTGTTGAAAAACAACTAATCACAGCAGAGCATCA